GATTATGACTTTAGATGATCAATTCATTAAAAAAGGTGCATGCTTTGGATATCTCGGATTTATTGTTCAAAGCAATGGTGTAATAGATGGGGATTTTATTTGTAGAATTTAAGTTGCATGGTTGAAGTGGACTTAGTGGAGAAATACATCGGGTCTGTTGCGTGATAGGAAAATACCCCTCAAAGTTAAGGGAAAATTTTATAAGATGGTTTCCCAACTTGTAATGCTTTATGTCACACAATCACAAAATGTTAGCTAGGTAAAGAGAAGCATAAAATTAAGTGTGTTATAGTGATGAGGATGCTTAGGTGGATGAGTAGCTTTATACTTAAGAGAAACAATGCGAAACAAGTATATATGTGAAAAGGTTGGAGTAGCTCTAGTGGCAGATAAGATTAGAGAGCCACTTTAGATGGTTTGGTCACATAAACTTCAGCCTTCTAATGATTAGGAGAGTAGATTTATTAGGGCTGGCCTATGTTAAGAAAAGTAGATGTAGACCTAAAAAAATGACATTTTTTTAATTGGATTTAAATGAGAATTTGACTTTTAATATGATATAATAGAGAAAAATGATTCATGTAGCGGACTCCACATAGTTGTTGTTGCATAAAGGCTTGTTGTTCCATCAATGAGATTTAAATTATGGCTTTATTGTTATTATTATTATTATTATTATTATTATTGCATGGGTCCATTACTTATTGAACTAGTATCATAAAAGGATGAACTCTTATATTTGCCTATATATATCTTTTCCTTTTAGTATATTCTTTTCAATATTATATTTTATTCATTCCATTTAAATTTGCATAAATTTGAATTTTAATATGCTGTTGTCAGGTCCTAAGCCCTGGGTGAAAAAAGTGGAAGGTTTCGTTAGGTAGTCGATAGCCAGAGTAAAACTTGTCGAATAATCATGACATATATCCTTTAATACATTGTCATTAATAAGACTATAAGAGTATACTTTTTAGATATCTTGGGTATGTTGGTTAAAATGATGGTGAAATATATGAGAGGATATTATTAGTAGAATTCAAATTTGATGGTTGAAGTGGAGGAATGCATCAGGTCTATTGTGTGATAGAAAAAACCCCTCAAACTTATGGGAGAATTCTATAAATGGCGGTGAGACCTGCAATGTTTTATTGCACAAAATGTTGGCTATTAAAAGAGAAACATAAGATAAAATGAAGTGTTGCTGAGATAAGGATGCTCAAGTGGATGAGTGGTTTCATTCTTAGAGAAAGAATGCGAAATGAGTATATATGTGAAAAGGTTAGGTAGCTAAGCTTCTATGGCAGATAAAATTAGAGAGAGTTACCTTAAATGATTTGGACACAAAACATCGGCCTTCCGATGACCTAGCTAGGAGAGTAGATGTGTTAGATTTGACTTATATTAAGAAGATTGAGGTAGACCTATAAAGACTTGGTTAGAAAATATTAAAAATGACTTTTTTTTAATTAGATTTAAATGAGAATTTGACTCTTAACAGGACACAATAGAGAAAAAAAGATTTATCTAGCTTACCTTACGTAGTGGGATAAAGCCTTGATGTTGTTACTGTTATTGTATGAATTTCAATATGATGATATCACCTTTAATGTGTATTATATTCTAATTAAGGTTATTTAGTTTTTCATTTTAATGCAATGCATTATTGCTAAAATTAGCAAGTATGAATATAAGGTGCCATGTGTAATTGTAATTATTATAAAATAAAATTATCATTACGCTCCTCACTTCCTTTTTGAAGGTTAAATCTACTTCAATGTTCCTTAAATTCTTAGTCAATCCTTTCTTAGTGCACAACCTAACCATCATGTACATAATTAAGTCAATTTATTTAGCTAATTCAGATATATATTTACATTAAATTTTCTAATTTATTAATAATAACAGCAATTTCAAACCTTATCTTATTTTTCAAGTGCACGCTTACTTGCCTTTAATGTGTTGCTTCATCTATACTGTTCAGTTATTTCATTGTCTAATACAAACATTAAAGGTGTCAAACAACATATAAAACAATGTCATAGATGTGGAATCTTGTCAAGGGCAACGTCAAAAATATTGAACGTTGTCAAAGATAACATTGAACGCATCAAACGTCGTTAAAGACAACATCAAAAATATATAATTATTAACTCAGACTTTTAATTACATTTTATATTATATTCTATAAAAAATGATTGAAAATATATTTATATAAATTTTCTTTGTTACCATAACTTGTTCTTCATCTTCATTCATCGAATTGAGCTCGCACAGATCGATCCTCCTTTTTTCCTATCTAACATATCACATAAATTAATTAAATCAAATATAAATTATAATTTTTTTATTTTCCACACTGACAGGAAATTCACTCGCTCTTATCTTTTTTCTTTGTCTACAGTTCTAACGAACAAATGACACTTCTTTTCATTCTTCTTCTCTATTTCTAACTCTGATTGAGTCTGGCAAACAGCCGTCTTCCAACAACTTATTACAATCAGGGTCATTGAACAAGTTGCACGGGAAACACAATTGATGGGCAAACTCTTCTTCACCTTTGTCTGCATTGAGCTACATCCGAATGATTGAACCTTTTTCTACCTCTCTTATTCCAGCAAATAGATTGATATTGCACTATTCTATCTCCTCCATCTCTGTTGAGTAGGGCTGGAAAGATCGCTCATTTTTTTCTCCTCCGGTTTTATACGAACTCATGTTCTCTGTCGATCGAAGCCATGAAACCGCACGTGATCCCTCTTCTTCCTCTTCTCTGCCTTTAACTCCACCAAACCGATTGAGGCCTGTTTTGTTCTTGCGAGAAGTCATGCTCGCTGGCCACTTCGAACCCTCTTCCATTTGATTGTTTGAAGATAATGGTTCAGTTGAACTGGTTTTGCTGGATTGGTTTAGCTGGTTCTTACAGATCGCCTTAGTGCCTTCTTCAGTTGGTTCTGGGTGCCTCAGGAGAGAATCTTTTTTTGTACTTTGCCTAATTTTCTAAAACTAGGTTTGCAATCGATCCAGATCGGAATGAACTTGGGCTCTGATTGCTTCATTCATTGATTATTGAGTTGAATACAAATGATATCAATTACAGGTTGAACATCTTGTTTGTGTCTAGCTCATTTAGAATTAAGTTGAATATGAAAAATAAGCATAATTGATGTCCATCAAATGCATCAACAATTTTTATTGATTAATAGCTCCAATTGCATGAAAAAGTGAGTTTCCATAATGCAATTTCTTTCGTTCTTTATGATACAGTGTATGAGTATAATGAACTTTTATGTATATACACATATGACTTACATGTATAGCATTTATATATAGTGAGGTCTAATCAAGTAGGATTTTGTTCGTGTTTGTCTCATTTAGTAAATGAGCTGAAATTTTGTTCGAACTCAGCGGTTTATTCAATTAATGAACTAAACATGAATAGTTTTTTAGTCAAACATGAGTTGTTTGTGAATAGTGAGCTTATTTGACACCATTATATAAAACCAACCACCTTGTTTTTTCAACATTATTGATATATTGGGTACAATTTTTTCTAAGAAGTGTTTAACATAATCATGAATTTAAGTAATATTATTTTGTCATTCTTTTCTTTGTTTCCCTCTTTTTTTTGGAATTTTCTTTGTTTCCCTCTTGTAGAGAGAGGCGAAGCAATTACTTTCACTCTCTTGTTCTCCTTAGGTCAACTTCACAGAAATTTTTGTGATTCAAAATTTTTAATGACCCAGTTCTCCATTGCAGACAATGAAAGATCATTCACTTTCATTCTTCTTCTTCTGAGGAATACTTTCATTTTTCTGAATATGTTGTTGTATTGAATTTAAGTGTATAATTTATTATGCTTTTATGTTTTTAATTCATTTATAAATTTTATTTATTAATTCGATCTACTTATGAGTTATAACTTGAGCTTGCTCATGGAAATTTTTTTTTTATTTCATGTTTCTGAAGTTAAAATATGTTAAATTTACTATATATTAAGCAATTCTACATGATAAAATATTTTTGTTTAATTGACCTATTTTTCCAGGTTTGTATGATTCTATTCATGTACCATCATCATTCTGTGCTGATTATGCCGCATATGTCAATTGCCAATTTGTTTGGATTTGTAAAAACTTCCTGCTAGCGGCACTTGGAAATTAGGCTTTTATATGAAGGTGGTGGATGCCTTGGGGTGGTTTTGAGCTTTACTCTCCTCATTCGTTATATATCTTTAATATGTATGCGGTTGATTTATATCACTTCTTAGAAGGAACTCAACATAGCAAATTATTGTATGGATAGTTAACAGAGGGTAGTTGAAATCAGAATAATGCCACCTGCATCTGTTTGGACAACCAGATGCTGTCTGATATGGTGGTTCAATCATTATGGGGGTTATTTTGATGTTCACTTTTGTTCAAGGATGGAACATCTTCTTTGATTGACCATCCCCGTTCGCTTGAGTTGAATATGGGTAAAAAGGGCACGATTAGTGTGTGAGGTTCTCACTAATACTGGTTTAGCTCATAAGGTTCTTACGCTGTTTTGTTGTGGAGGGGTTGATGGCACTCTGTTTGAAGCTTTTTGAGTGATTCAAACTAATGTCCGTCAATTCAATCATTGTTCCATGCTTGCCCTCACATTTTAAGGTTACAACTACTCATTGATGGAGTAAGATGAAAAATCTTGGCTGACATGAGCTGTAAAACATTTTATTTGTTGTCGTGAACTGTAGGACATATATTTGTTGTCATTAGCTGTAATTTTTTTATATGCTGTTAACCATGCTCTTTTATTGTTTTAAAATAATATTATATGGTCTGAGCAGTTTATGATGTCCTTGATTGCCAGATATAATATTTATTCTTTTTTGGGTATTGTTAATTCACCTCCTTTTGTTGGATGCCTTCTAGCAGAAGAGTACAAATTTGTTCTGTTTTTATTTTGAAACAGTTAATAAAACCTATACGGATATGAACTTTTAATCACTCAAACAGGTTATAGAATGGCGGCTGAGTGTGCACGGAATGCATTGTTGCAAAAGGTTTTGGACAACAAAGATGATCCAGGTATTTCAGTGAATTTCACTAATGTGGCAGCCTTCTCTGATATTCTGATTGTTAATGGTTACAATTTCTCATTTGCTACTTAAGAATTACCTAGAATTTAAAATTCAAACCAATTTTGTAAAGAGCTCCTTCAATTCATTATCTTGCTTGTTTACTTTCATTAATCCTTTTTATTATGGGATTGAATTTGTTAATCTATATTTTATAGATATTTTTATGTTTGTTGCTCTTGGTAATTCTTGCTTAAGTTTGACGAATCTTGTGTAATATTCTGCTACAGAGAAGTTCAAGTCAGATTTGATGAACATTGCAATGACAACATTGAGTTCGAAAATACTTTCGCAGGACAAGGAACATTTTGCGAAGCTAGCAGTTGATGCTGTTCTGAGACTTAAGGTATATTACATCTCTTTGTTGACTGTTTGCAATATCTGTTATTAGTCTTTTTCGACCTTTTTCTTCCGTGATGATGAAAATGGATTTTACTTTTTAAAGAAAATTAAATAAAGTGTTTATGTTGAACAAAGAATGTATTGTGATTCAAAATTTAGCTTTTATTGGAATAAGACGACTGATAAGTTGAAACTTTGGAAAATTTTACTTGAGGTATTATTTTTCTTCGTCCTTAGCGTTGGTAGAACATAAGAAAGATTTGGCAGCATTTACTTGTGAAAGAGGAATATGTATGAAGGGTTGAATCATGGATGCCTAAGGTAAAAGTAACTGTTGGAAGTATCACAATGCAATTATTTAAACAAATTCATATGAAATTGAGTCTATAACTATTTCAAAAGCGTGCTGCAAGTTTTTTTCCACGCAGATATTCAAAAGCGTGCTGCAAGTTTTTTCCACGCAGATATATTAGTGATCATCGTTTTGGATTCTTTCCTGCTTAAATGTTTGCTATTTGAGCTTGTACAGTGAGTTTATATGGGGGTTGTCAATGAAATCAATAATATCTGTCATTATCTGGGTGGGATTATTATTAAATTTATGATTGACATAAAAAGAAGTTGATTGATATTGAAATAGTTTGACTGCAATTATGGGAGCTTATTTCAATTGGCTTGACTTGTCTGACATGACAGTTAAGAACATTGCTAATCAATTAATGATCAAAATATTGGGCTTTTTTGTTTTGATGTCTGGGTCTTTGGGGAACCCCTTCCGCTTTGCTTTTCTTAAATGGTTGCTATATGGTTAACTAGAGCTCTTCTTAAATGGCTGCTATATGGTTAACTAGAGCTCTTTATAGGAGATAATGAGAGTGAGAAGAAGAGTTATGGGTCTGATCTCGGAACTCATTAACCATCAATGCCTAATTTTTTATATTCAACCCTCTTGACCCTAAATAATTGTACAACAATAATAATAATATCAAGCCTTTATCTCATACATGGGGTTGGTTATAGGAATCCTTTTTCTCCAATATGTCCTATTAAGAGTCAAATTACCAATTAAATTTAATATAAATGTTCATTTTCAATATTTTCTAACCAAATCTTTTTAGGTCTACCTCTACCGATCTTAACGTAGGCCAAATCTAATACATATACTCTCCTAACCGGGTCATCGGAAGGCCGAAGTTTTATGTGACCAAACCATCTAAGGCGACTCTCGCTAATTTTATCTGCCATTGGAGCTACTCCATTCTTTTCACGTATATACTCGTTTTCATATTGTCTCTAAGGGTGAAGCCACTCATCCACCTGAGCATCCTCATCTCTACAGCTCTTAACTTAAATTTATACTTTTTTTTTAATGTCCAACATTCTGCGCCATAAAGCATCACAGGTCTCACCACCATCTTGTAGAATTTTTCCTTAAGTTTGAGGGGTACTTTTCTGTCACATAATAAGCCTGATGCATTCCTCCCCTTCAACCATCCAACTTGACCCTAAATAACTGTATTGTGTAAAATAGTGCTATCCGAGGCGCACCTTAGATCTAAGCACTAAAAAAACCTTGAGATTTACATCTCATGTGGAACAAATGAAGCGAATGCCTCAGTTTTGTGAGGCTCGTCTCAAGGCATTGGCGAGGGGGCTTAAGTATGTTACTTTGATGTTAGCGCACTCTTACTAAAAAATATGGAAGCAAACATGGCTCAAATTCCACTCAACATAATCATTGCTTACACCAGCGGTGGAGTAACATGATGGGTGAGGGATATTATGGAGAATTGTGTGCCAGTCGGTTTTGTTGGAGATGGGGCATATTGGGGCGATGAGGACATCTATGATAGAATGGATATTGAGTAAGCCAAATTCAAGGGTGCGCTTTGCAAATTGCTTTGTACACTTAACATACTTTGGGAAGCTTGAACACCTTTCTTTGGGTTGGTGAGTGCTGAAATTCCAAGCAGCAAATTAACTCAAGAACATGACATTTCTAAGAGTAGTCTTTAGTTCTTGTTTTCCCTGGTAAAAAAAGATAACAATTTCTATGAATTTTTTTTGGATATGGTGTTTACATGGATATATTTACTTTTTAGCATTCTTTTTAATTGCCTAGTTTAAGTTCTAGCAATCTTACCCAGTGATGATGTTAAGAGAATAATAAGACGTGTCAATAAAAAAAAAAAAAAACTGAGTGTTTTTGCCTTGCGTACTATTGGTGCCTATAAATGCCTCACAAGATTTGTATTGTTGTACTTTTTTGAACTTTGATTACATTCTATGTTTGTGTTGCGCATAATGCAATTATCTTGCAATTATACCAGGGTAGTACAAACCTGGAGGCTATCCAAATTATCAAGAAGGCTGGAGGATCCTTGCTAGATTCATTTTTGGATGAAGGGTAAGAATTTAAGCGTTCCTACACTATGACATATATTATACGGTAGCATAGGCTGTTGTGGGAAACTAGATATGTTCTGTCTCATTCACTAAGTTGAAATCTTGCTTAAATAATGTATTTTTTGTGTGTAAGCTGGTATTTTTTTATTTTACATATATACTAGCATCTACCTGTTGAAGAAGGATTAAGCACTTTTTTCGTTGTCTTCTACATTACAAACTATCTAGACATGATATGCTTAGAGCACTGCTTCATGGATATTAAATTCTCCCAATGCCTTCATAATCTTTTGACATCAGATATCAGAGATTTTGAAACGGCCTTGGGGCTATTTGGCTGGGTGACAATTATGTAAAGACTCTTTACCATGTAAAGAAATTTGTGATCTTGGGTTGGAGTAAAATTTATGAAGTAACCTTACTCAAAAACTTGCTGCAAGCAGATCCGGTCAGATTAGCAGCATTTACTTTTCAGACTTTCCAAATTTGCCAAACCAAAGAGCCGTGCGTTTTTTATTGACTATATCTCTAGAGCACTTGGTTTTCTTGGATCTCCAGACCATTATAATGTTATTTGTGCTATATGCTACATGCTACAAGTTGCACAAACTTCTTTATTATCTTGTTTGTCCATCTTATTAGAAAGTTGGCTTGCTTGGAAGGGACACGCTATATGACCTGAATATAGCGATAAATGTGCATGGGCCGCTGCACTGGCGCCCGGGTGCAATTTTAAATAGGCAAGGGTTCTCACATTATGGTCGGATATATGCAAGCTAGTCCATGAAACTAAAATTAGGATAAGAACTTGGAATATAGATACCCTTACAAACAAATTAATGAAATTAATGTATATTATGATTCATTGGAAAATAAATATTCTACGCATTTAGGGAACTAAATTGGTTGGAGAGAAGGCTAAGGAGATTGATAGTTTAGAATTTAAACTATGATATTCTGGTAATATTCGTACTATAAATGGTGTAGGTGTGATTATAGATAAGAGCTTAAAAGATAATGTCGTAAAAATTAATAGAATTGAAGATAAAATTATAGTTTTAATGATGTGAAACAAACATGCGGCAAGAGTTGCTTAGATTTTAACAATAAATATTGAACATGAACTTTGCTATTTAAGAACTTATGCTTCACTCAATTCAAACTCGTAGAATTTTCAATAAGAGATTGAGTGATGACAAAAGTTACAAGTAGGATAACAGGACAATCTCAATAACTATGAAACAAAATAATAATGCTAATAGCAAGAAAACAAGAATCCACAGCAGAGGAGGATGAAGCACATGAGGAAAGAGATTACCTCTAGGAAGATGGCGCCAAGGATCTTCGTCGGTGGAGAGGTAGCCGGCGGTGGAGAAAGTTGTGTATGACTAACGATTATCCAATGACCCGGTGAAAGGTGCTCTTCAATCGACAATGTTAGTTGGTACAAGATGCGGTTGATGTATCCTTCAACAGTTTCGTCGTTGCCAAAGAAGACGTCAAAGAACAGGGAACCAAGAATATCTGTCCTTCCTTGCTCGTCGAATAAAAATCCGTGGTTGATCTCAAGATCGGCCATGCACCATTGACGTGAGAGAGGAGAGAGTACAAGTAGGGAGAAGGAGAGAAGAGGGAGGTGGAGAGGGAGGCTGGCGGCTTGGGTAGGGGGAGATGGGTGGGACGACTTGAGGAAAAGGGGGAGGCAGCTAGGGTTTGAATTAGGAAGAGTTTGGGATTAGAAAAGTTGAATTTAATTTCAGTTTAAGTGAATTTGGAGGGAAATGTTTTGAAATTAAATTCAAATTTCAAATAGGGCTTAGGGATTAAGTGGGAAATTAATGGGTGAAGCCCATCTTGGGGCCGACGGCTTTATGAGGTGGTGGGAGGGGATTGGGAAGAGAATTATTAGCTTCCAAACAAGGCTTTGTAAATAAGGAGAGCTAATATTAAATCCAATCTAATTTAATTTCAAATTGAACTCATGATTATATACTTTCCTTATTTAGACTTTTAAATATGAAAGTATTTGAAATTCAAATTTGAATTTAAATATTTCCTTTACTTGCTTGAGCCAATCTAGGGAATCATTATGATGATGGGAGCAATGAGGTGGCCGACGGCAAGGGGAAGAGAGAGGGATTGGCGCCGGGTTGGGGTGTGGAGAGGGATTAAGCCTGCGGGTGGGGTTTTGGTGGTGGAGTTATAGGGTGATTTGGAAAGGTGAAGATGGCCGGCGGTGGAGGATAGGGAAATAGACGGGTGGGGTGGGGAAAAGGAGGAGAAGAATAAAAGAAAATAGAAAGAAACCACGAGCCGCTGACTCTTCCAACGACTGGTGGATATTGCGCTTGCTCACCTTGAGCTCTCTCTCCGTTCTCTCTAGTGCACTCACAAGAAGAAGAAGAAGACAAAATAAAATATCATATCATTTATCATCCTGCTACAACACATATGGCCACTATATGTAGGCATCTAACATGAAAAAGGAAAAATGACAAATTTAACTCCGGGCTACAATAACAAGACACTCCCCATAGGGGTAAAATCGGAAAACAACAAAACTAAATAAAACATAATGCATACAACAAGATTAAATAAAACATAATGTGTCAAAAGTAAAGACGCTGAATCGTAGCCGTCGATCTACGATTCCGTTGCCGGCGCACGTGTCTGAATCTCTGAATGATGTCCTCATCATTTAAAGATTGTTGTTGATGCTAAGATTATTAACATTATAAGTGCTTATGTTCCTCAAGTAGGTTTGGATATGGGTTCGAAATTAAAATTTTGAAATGACTTAAAAGAATTAATACAAAGGATAACTCTTAAAGAAAAAAATTTTATTGGAAGATATTTAAATAGACATGTTGGTAGAGATATAGATGATTTTAAAAATCGTTCATGGTGGCGATGAATTTGGAGTGACTAATGAATGTGGTAAGATCATATTAGATTTTTTTTTAGCTTATGATTTTGTAATTGCTAATATCTTATTCAAGAAAAGAAATGAGCAGTTCATCACTTATAAGAATGGATATAGTCAAACTTAAATTGATTATTTCCTTATAAGAAAAATAGATCGTTTAGATTGTAAAGATTATAAAGATATTCTAAGTGAAAGTTTATGTATCCAGCACCGCTTATTAGTTTTGGACTTTAAGATAAATCATAAAATGACAGAAAATAAAAAATAAAGTAAAATATAGAGATAAGATTAGTAAGGATTTAGTTCAAGTGAAATGTATTAAGGATGAAGATCAAAAAGTGTTTTTATTAAAAGAGGATATTCAATAAAGATGGATGAGATATCTTTATAAACACTTCAATGATGATTATGACAATGCGATTGACTTTAGTGACCTTAGCACCCTAAATGAAAATAAAGATTTTTTTTAATCGGCGTATCAGTAAAACTAAAGTTAGAGAGGCTTTAAAGAAAATGAAGTTTGGAAAAGCTATTGGACCTGATGATATTCCAATAGAGATGTGGAAATGCTTAGGAGATGAATGGATTTTTTGGCTTACTAAACTTTTTAATATTATTTTGTAGACTAAAAGATGCCAAATAAGTGGAGAATGAGTGCGTTGATTCATATTCTTAAGAACAAAGGTGATGCACAAGATTGTACGAATTATGTAGGAATTAAATTAATGTCTCATACTTTAAAACTATGGGAGAGAGTTATGGAGCATGGGTTGCGGCGTGATACTAATGTTTCTCAAAATCAATTTGGATTCATGCCGAGTTGGTCTACTATGGAAGTTATACATTTATTGAGAGGTTTGATGGATAAGTATAGAGAGAATAAGGAGGATCTGCATATGATATTTATTGATTTAGGATAAAGTTCCAAGAGAATCGATATGGAGTGTTCCAGAAAAGAAAGGGGTTAATGATGCTTGTATTCAAGTCATTAAGGATATGTATGCAAATAAAAAAAAAGATATGTATGCAGGAGTTGTTACTTGTGTTCAGACATAAGGTGGTTTGACCAAGTATTTTCTTATTTCAATTGGATTACATCAATGATCAGCCTTAAGCGTGTACTTTTTGCTTTAGTAATGAATGTTCTCACTAGACATGTACAAGAGGTTGTACCCTGGTGTATGTTTTTTGTTGATGATATTTTTCTTGTTGATAAGACTGGAGAGGGAGTTGAAGGTAAACTTGAATTATGGAGGTCAACCTTAGAGGCTAAAAGGTTTTCGTTTGAGTATATCTAAAACTGAATATATGGAGTATAATTTTAGTAATAATAGTTCTTGTGGGGGGATGACAACTTTGGGTGATCAAGTCATTAATAAGAGTATTCGTTTTAGATATCTTGGGTCTATTATTCAAAGTGATAGTGAAATAGATGGGGATATTATTAGTAGAATTCAAGTTGGATGGTTGAAGTGGAGGAATGCATCAGGCTTGTTGTGTGATAGAAAAGTTCCACTCAAACTTAAAGAAAAAATTCTATAAGATGGTGGTTGGACTTGCAATGTTTTATGGTGCAGAATGTTGGCCATTAAAAGAGAAGCATAATATTAAGTTAAGTGTTGTAGAGATGAGGATTCTCAGGTGGATGAGTGGCTTTACTCTTAGAGACATGATAAGAAATGAGCATATGCGTGAAAAGGTTGGAGTATCTCCGGTGGAAGATAAAATTAGAGAAAGTCACCTTAGATGATTTGATCACATAAAACGGCGGCCTTCCGATGACCTGATTAGGAAAATAGATGTATTAGATCTGACTTATGTTAAGAGGAAGAGGTAGACCTAAAAAGTTTTGGTTGGAAAATATTAGAATTGATATTTCTTTATTAGATTTAAATGAGAATTTAACTTTTAATATTGCATAATTGAGAAAAAGGATCCATGTAGCCGACCCCACAGTGGGATAAAGGATTAATGTTGTTGTTTTGTAGTATTAGAAAGTTGGCTTGCACTCCATGTTCATTAGGTCTTTGACATGTTTTAAATGAGAATTGATGTAGTTGAAAGTGATTGATTGG